ATGTGACATGAATCTTTATTAATTTTTGAAACTATCAATGAACACCTAATGACTGGCCTCTAACCGTACTTAATTATTCATGTATATGAAGATTCCTAAACATTTAGACTAAAATTGATTAAAAATAAAATTAACTTCAAATAGATATAATTTAAGAACTAGTTAATTCAAATAATTCAACTCTTAGTATTCCTTGAATTGCAATATTTTGATGAGTGAGGTAATTGATAATTTGACTTAGGAAAGAATTTGTATTCGAAATTAAACAAAGAGAAGGAAAGCTAACTAGATATAATAATCCTCTTTAAAAGATAAAAAACAAAAGAAAAATCAAAAGAATAAGAAAAATTGAAAAAACTTAGGTTATAAAGAAAAAAATTAGGAGTTTTTTGCAAGAGAAATTTTAAGTTAAACTTAAAATCTAAAATATGTACCAATTTCTCTTTTTGAAAGCTTGAGAATAAAAAAATTCTTTTAACTCTAAATTCAGGCCGTGATAATTAGCCGGATAATAATTGAATTAACATTAATTAGTTGATTAGTCAATTTGAATTGTATATATTTGAAAAATAATCTTATTTTAGTCAACTAAGCACAAGTGATTTAAGGTTTATTATATAGAAGTGTGTTAATATAAGTTATGTTGGGATATTAGGCTTTAAGAAAATTTAGTATTAAGAAATGGTTTGTGAATCTTGAATTATTTGTTTACCTTGTTACTAAAGAACATTACAAAATTAAGTCTCAATCTACCATGATCTTTCAAAGATTCTAACTGTAGGGATTGAAATAATTGAGGGCAACTAATGATTAAGTTTAAGGAAATTTGATGTGTTGAAAATGAGATTTAATATTTTCTTTTATTTTTTTATGTTATTTGTGTCATTTTTATATTTTTCTATGGTATTTTTGGTTGTATTGTAGTGTACATGTAAGAAGACAAAATAGGGGGAGCACAAGGAGCAAAATGGATGTTAAGTCCTGGACTGCCCAGACGTCCAAGCACGGCAACCCAACATTGGAACCAACCCAAAAATTTGCCAAAATATTGTGAAGTTGAAAGCGGGCGTCGCTATCCCAGATGTGCGGGATTACGGTTCATTGTGTTTCATTGGCGTCGTTTCGCGTCTGATGGCTTAAACCAAATGGGAGGCATCATTTGGGAGAGATAACATCTCAGAGGAGGAAATCAAACACCACTTAGATGAGAACACACCACTCAAGAGAGGAGAAAGCCACTTAGAAGATCTCACTCATATTCTTCCCATATTTTATCACTTTTGCTTAGGGAGTTCGAGAAAGTGCATTTTATTGAGTGGTAAAATTAGTGGAACATTGTGTTTCTTATACTTGGGAGATCAAAATCAAGGAAAGCATTTAATGTAAAGGGGAACATTGCTATGTAATTTGTGTTTTCTTTACTTTTGTGTATATTTGATTTTATGATTTCAATGAAAGTTCTGATGTTTTCCTCATTCATGTGTAGTAGTAAGTGTTTTCATACTCGTGTTTCAGACATGTCATGAATCATATTTTTTCATGAAAATTTTCAATTCTAATTAAGAATTTAATAAAAGTTGATGGGTTAACTTTTTAAACTTAATTTATATTTAAACGAACTATTTAGAAAGTTAATATCTCTTGTGATCTAGGATCTCTAACTGTTGAATAGAATAACGAGTGGATTAACACATGATAATCTAGTGGAAAAGATATATTGTTACAAGGAGATTGCAACCTAAATAAGAGATTAGAGCATTCCTAGGAAACTTTACTGCATCCCCTTAATTGTAATACAGGTTTCCGACACTTCCTTTGATCTCGATGGAGGCTAAGAAGAATTTCTCGGGTTGTCAACTATAATGTAAAGGAAATTATTGGAAGAATACTGAGGATTCACACTATCTGATTCACAGGAGTATGATAATTTTATCTAATAAAAAAACTTAAAAAATGTGGTTAGGTTTCATTATTAGGAATTAGACCTTTTAGAAAATCGAAATATTGAATACTTTGAACTAGTCTTAGGGTTTAGTAAACTAGAAATTTAACAAATTATGAGATTTAACAAGTTACTTGTGGGATCAATTCAAACACTTAAACTCATATATTACTTGAGTGACACATGCTTGCATAGTTGAACCGTGTTTCATTGCATCATGGGCATCTCTCAGTAGGTATCTCTTTCCGAGCTGGTAATTATCCTAGACTTTTCCATCCTCTGCAACCTTCCCTCTACAGCTGTTGTCAATGTAACCGCGACATCCACCCCCAAGGAAAGCACCTTTGTTGTCTCTAGCAGCCTTTATACCTCCCACTTGCATTTCCAGCCATCTCTCCATCCACATCCCTGCGCGACTCCACCCTTGCCACCTGCGACCACCTATTGCAACCATAACTTTCACCTTCCAATCTCCCAGCCACAATCCATACCATCTACCTGCTTCCATTCTCCAGCCATCCCTGCAGGCTACCCTTCTTCCCCTACAACACACCTCCAATTTCAATCCTCCTGCTGTCAACCACTTCCAGACTTCCTTCCATTTTCAGCTCCTAACTGCATCACCACCACCCTCGACCCAACCTGATTTTGAGTTTATGTGTTGTATCTTTTGTTATTTTCTAGTTCTGTGTGTTTTAGTTGTAATCCCTATTTGATTTCAGTAATAAAATTTATATTTTTCTTACAAGAGGAGATATGCTTAATAGATCGCTTTGTTTTGGAGCCAAGGGAGTGGACAGAAGAGGTTTGGAGTCATACCAGTGACTTCCTAGGAGGAGCTGATGACCTTAGGTTCTATTCTTGGAAGATTATTCAATTGATTCATACGATTCTGAGGCCTTACATATGAAGTGGGTTCTCAATATATTTCTAAAACACCCAAGGTCAACAAAAAAAAAAAAAAGATATTATGTGTTTTTTCATGTACATGTATAAAATGTGAGGTATTTAAAACATTTAAAAAAATTTGTATGCGTTGTTGATCCGTATGGAGAAGACTTGATGATTATTATGGCCTTGCATCATTCAACTAGGCCAAAAGAAGCTCTTCTCTGATGAATTGGTGGTGATAATATTTGTGGAGATTGAACTAGAATGATGGCATCTATGAAGACAATACCCAAATAGAGAACACCCGTAGAAGGGTTTTGTGGTTTCAATTAGTTCTTTATGCATCATGAATCAAATTAATAAAATGGATAAGGATCCCGTGAAAATTTGGCTGCGATATTGTTTGTGGTGCAAAAACTCGACCTTTATTTTCAACCCTAGAGACGAGGGAGCAAAAATAGTGGCCGCATGCTCCTTAGATTGATGTGCAACTTCGATCTTGTGTAATTTTGTTTTTTAAGCTCTCCAATTCAAACACATCATTTTGGCACATGATCATAGAATTCTTCAGGTCGAATTTCAAATACTGTCTGACAATGTAAAGTCCCCATTTCTGTTTTTTTTTTTGTAGCCAATCTTTAATGCAATAGTTTTCAATGGGGTGGCTAACTACTAAATAATATGGGCAGTAATTTGGATTGCTAGTTTGATCTGCTTCTTTTGGTTTTTTGCGTTCTGGCAACTCAGTGCCGACTTTGAAACCTTGACAAAACATTTTTGTCACACTCTCTCTTAAAGGATTTTTTTATTTATATTGTGTAGAGATGAGTATACTCTCTCTTTAGCACCTGCTTTTTGATTTGGACGCTTTCCTACATCGAAGGTCTTGAGCTTATTATTTCCTCCCAACACCAAATTTGACCGAGGATTAGAGTTGGTTAATTGCCTTTTCTTTCATTCTCATAAATAGGTTATTTTTCCTTATCAACATTAAAAATTACTCGTTTTTCTTTATCTAAGTCAAAAGAAGCGATATGAGTTGCAGTTCTTCTCGAGTTTGAAAATCTATTTCTTTAGTCTTGTCTAAATGACTTTCAAACTTTACGAAATTTAACTTCTCGAATTTATTAACTCTGTCTAATATTTTTTGAAGGGTGCCATCTTATCGTCAATATTCCCCATTAACAATTGACTTCATGCTCTTCTTTCAATTGATTCTTTCATTTCATGCTCAGCGAGTAATATATTGTCACTGACTCACTTTTCTTTCTTTTCTCTAGAACAAGGTCAGCGATAGTTGCCTTTTCTATGGCACTGGCAAATTTGTTGAAAAATATTATTTCAAGCTCGTCGATTGTTTTATCATATCATTGAGAAAATCCGCATACCATTCAAAAGTAACTCCTGTAATATTACTGATGAATTGACAGATTAACAATGTATTTCTGCCCACAATATTGCCTTAATATGCTTTGAAGTGGGCTAGATGTTGCTTTGGATTATCATTACCATTGAATGTATTAAATTTTGGTATCAAATAGCCCATTGGATATGCCATTTGATCATATTTGGCTGGATGGCTAATCACCAGTCATTAGGAGACGAGGGAGCGGAGAGGCTAGAAGCCATCCTGAGGGACCAATGGCAATAATGGGAAGAGGGAACTTGTTTGGTTCAATTTATCAATGATTTCAATTGATTCGTGCATTCCTAAGATGTTCTTTATATAGAAGAATGTTCTCAATACATATCTAAAATACTCAAAAACATTAAAAGAAATATAAATGCGTCTTTGTTACATCTTTAAAACTCGGAACACATTCAGCACATGTTTAAAGCTACGGACATTCTGCATCGCCAGGCAAAAATGTTTGCTATACTTTTCTCTTGGAAAAGAAGCACATTTTGAACATTGTTTGAGGGTATGCAAAATTGCAATATATCTTTCAGCTTATTTTTAAATATGGCGCATCCTTATTGTGACATAAATGAGCTATAAGATGAATTTTAACTGGGATTTTTAGCCTGCTGTTCAATTTATTGCCGCATCTCTTGTAATATTTTTCATAATTACATTATTGACAAAGAAATTATAGATTTTTTAAGTCCTCTAACGTTTTGAGTTCGCCTAAGGTTTTATTTTTCATTATTTTGATTCTAAAAATAGGTACGTGCCACCGTCACAGAATTGAAGAATGCAGTTCGTGTTTTTAGTCAGCTTTCTGCTGCTTCTAGCTTCCATTCCCATGGATTTGATGAGAAGAAGATACGAACTCATGTAGAGTATTGCAAGCATTTACTTGATGCTGCTAAAGTACATTGTGAGGCAGCAGAACGTGAAGAGCAGCAGAACCGCCAGAGGCTAGAAGTTGCTCGTCAAGTTTCCTTGGCAGAAGAAGCTAAACGGAAAGCTGAAGAACAGAGGAAATATCAGGTATTTTCTAAAAGGAAGATATTTCTTATATGGAAGATTTACGTGCATACTACGCAATTCTTATGTATTTACATATCTAACACCTATACTTATTTTATTTACATATATGCCACTATACCTTTGCTGAAAAGATGTATTTTCACTTTTTAAAATTTAAAATACTGATATTTTTAATCTGACATGAAAGATTTAGGTGGCATAAAGATAAAAAGTAAAGTTTAGGTGTTGGATATGTAAATACATAGGAATTGGGTGGCATGTATGCAGAAGCCCCTTCTTATTTATTGAAATTTGTCATGGAGACATTAGCTGATCCAAGTTATTCTAAGCAGTTGGAACGGAGAAAGCAAGAGGATGAGCTGAAACGAGTGATTCAACAGGAGGAAAATTTTGAGCGTATAAAGGTTACCATTTTATAGCAACTTATATTTTAATATTTACATTGCAGTTTGGCTATTTTAAATTAGGATGTCTTCACTGTGGTGGTGTTAGTCTCTAGTATATTTGTCTCTATAGCATCTATAAGCTATGCTAATTAATTGGCATTGTTGGTTGTAGACAACAATAACAACAAGCCTTTATCCCACTAAATAGGGTCGGTTACAAGATTCTTTTTTCCTCCTTGTTACAATAGTTGACATTTCTCCTCTTTTTTCATTTTGGGCTTTGATTTCTTTTTATCAAAACTGGTTGTGACATTTGTTTTCGTTTTGATTGGAAAGCCCTTCTCATTTTTGTGAAATTAAAATTACATCTTGGGATACAAAATTAGTAAAATAAAAAATATAATTTTCTAGGAATGATGAACAATAACTTGTAAATCGTGTGACTCAGACTTGTGACCTTGGAGAAATGATCTTCTCCTGCCAATAGATCGTGAATCATTCCACAACTAGACTTTCTTTCCAGCAGAGTTCAGTCTTTTGCACATCTTACATATTCCAAGTATTTGAATGACTACAAATCATTAGAATGTAAAATTTGCTTTACCTTTGTTGTATGTATACTCATAAAAAGATTAGACTTTTACAGAGTCCACTAGTAACACATTTATATGCTCTTCTTCTTATTTTTTTCTTATTTTTGTGTTAGCCAAAGCTTTTAAATGAATCTTTGCTTATTATACCGCCTGTTTGATATATACACTGCTGGAGAAGTTATTTGTTAAGATTCATAACATTTTTTCATACGGAAATGCAGAAGCTAAAATAGATTATGTTTACTTGTGTCTTTGTGAACGCACTGATATTAAACATTTTATCCAATTTAGTGGGAATTCGATGTTTGTTGGCTTATCTAGATCATATTTATGTCCTAATTTTAAAATATTTTATGTGCTAAGAGCTAGTAGTTAAAGATGCAAGTGCCTGGTAAATGTACCTGTATTTTTTCCCTTCACTAGTAGTTTTTGCAGGCTTTCTATGAAATGTTTCTCCATGCATTCATTAAAATATGAGCCGCCAAGGTGATGATCTTTTTGATGATGGATTTTTCTTATAATTTATATTCATTTTTAGGAGCAATGGAAAAATTACACCAATACCTCTGGTGGTAAGCGCAAAGATAGGTCACACTTTGAAGATGAGGATGGCGGAAATGGCGAGAGGAAGAGAAGGAAAGGTGGGAAAAGGAGAAAGAAGGACAAGCGGAAGGATCATTATGAACAAGAAGTGGATATGGAAGATGAGCAGGAAGAAATGGATGAAGATGATGCTAAACAAATGAATGGTCGGGATGAAGAGATGGTCAGAGATAACCATCTAGCTGCAGCTGGTCTTGAAGATTCCGATGCTGAAGATGATATGGTAATATGAATTTTCCATTTTCTTTCCAGTATTGCTCACCCATAAACCATTTTGATTTCTTTGCTATCATGGAAATCCATCTTGAATGTTTCTTAATAGAAGAGCTAGAATCATTAAACTATTTATTTTTGTTTCCTTTCATTTTTTAACACTCCATGGCCATTAAAATTAAAATTTGCATAGCTTGTACATTCTTGAGTCAAACTCTTAAGCATCCTGGCATTTTTAGCTTTGATGGTCCTTTCCTCACCATTTCGTTACTGTTCTATCATATGCATAATCTGCTGAATATTTGGTTTACTTGAGTTTACTTATCTAACGGTATGTAAATTAGGGGCATTTGCATATATAGCACACAATTCAAATGTATTTACGTATCTCACACTAAAACTTTCATATTTACACAAATCACTTGAATCTTTAATATCACATAAAAAATAGTACTATTATTGCTTTTAAGCAGGAAATACATCTATTCATGCATAGGTTTAAAACACTAAAGTGCTAAGTATGTTAACTACGAATGTTTAGTTGCGAGATATGTAAATGCATAAGAATTGCATGCTAGGCATGTAAATTTCCCTAAAAATTAATCAAGTTGTTTTCTTAATCTATTTTCCAGGGAGAGTCTGCCATAAACCGGAAAAGAAAGGCTTGGTCGGAATCCGATGAAGATGATGAACCAACTGAGAGGATTCGCAATCCCAGCCCTGATGGATACAGGGACTCCGCTGGAAGTGACGAGGAACCTAGAGGCAATGGCCGAGGCACTCAGATCGACGAAAATGATGATTACTAGGAACCTCCAGATAGAGATTTATACATATTTTATCTCGGTGAGTTTTGAAAAGCCATAAATATTTTAATTTGGTAGAACTGAATTTAAGCAAATAGTTCTTTATTACTTATTTTGAATCTCTTCAGTCTTTTTGGAGGCCTCTAAAAGCTTTCCTGTTCTTATTTTTTGTTAACTTAAAGCTAAATGATGTATATGTTTTTTTGTCAAATCCATCGGCTTCAGTAGGAATATAGTATGAATTTGTAGTTGTAACATCTGATTCGGTTAATGGAATAATTTTTTTCTACTGCAAGTGGTTTGTTTGGCTTTGCTATTGAATATTAGAAATCCAAATAAAATCTGCGTTCAAATTTTGTTTTTTGGTCGCTGAAGTGCAGCATTATCTTATCAAATCCATCGAGAACTTTTTCTGATTGTTTAAAGCGACTTGTGGCTGTAACCGCCGTCTTTTTTGGTTGGTACAAAGTCTACTAAATGTTTTATTAGCTGAACGTAGAATACAAACATAATCGGTAGATAAGGATCAGAGATAAGGAATATGCTTTCTTATTTGATAATTGTTGTTCCGTCTTTTGTTTGATGCTAAATAAGAAGAATGTTCGTCTAGTAATAGTTTGGTAGAAACTTTTTCTGAGTTTGTTTTGAGTTGTTTGCGTGAGAGTGATATTTGTCTTTGGAATCAAGCAATCTAGTTAAAAAAATATTATGGTGTCATGCTACAACTTGGTTATGAGGCTTAAGTGAATTCCTTGATGTTCGTTTCGTGTTTGGGGTTTGGAGCTAGAAATGTACAAGTATTTAATAAATGGTAAATATAAAGGATTTAATGATTTATCTGGAGATTTATATAAGTTTCATGCAGTTTTATATACATACTGATGTATGCTGGAAGATTTGTGATGGTAGAGTGGTTATATAACGTACTTAGTATTGCATAAAAGTTGAGCACAAATTTAGATTAGAATTTTTTATATGGAAAACTCGGAAAGGGAGCAAATTATGGGGCCTAGTTCATTCATAATGATTCATTATAAGCTGATTACATACATACGGCTCTTGTCCCAAAGGCGAAAGATGTTACAGTTTCTTGAAGTATAAAAATTATACGCAAAAAGGTTCGTTATACAACAATAAGGGGCAGTCGTCATTGGGAATAGGCGTCGTGACTTTGGGGCACTGTTTTTAAGGTGTATTGTTCCATGGTGTTCATGATGATGCATTGTTCCAAAAGTTGACTTGTTACTTTGGAATATTAGTTTTACTATTCACGGTGTTTTTTATTTCGCTATGTCGTGATTCTGCGAGAGATTTTGTTGCAACGAGCGGAAAGCAGCTAACGGTGGTCAACGGTGGTCAATGAGTCGTGGTTATGGGTGGTCAACAATTATGGGATTAGGATGCGCTCGATGGGTTTCGATCCATAATGATATTGGAATTCAACTCTTTCTTCGTGCATCAGCTCCATGTCCAACTCTTCCTTCAATTTAAGCTATATGTCCTCTTTCATGAGAGTAAAACTCTATTTATATAGTCTATGAGTGGCTTTTTTTAAATGAGGAAAGAAAACAGACCACCCTATCGGACGACCTAGAAAGGTTCCCATGATTGAACATTTTGTGGATATTTAAGTGCCTTAAAAGTGTTGGAATTACGTGACCTTGGGTTTATTAAACTCCTCTTGTTGAGATGGTCGATTTGACTCTATACTTATCAAATTTGGAATTTGTTTGACCTTTCAATTGCACCAGAAACTATTAAAAAAAAAGTTTAACAGCTTTGATCAAAACCTATATCAACTCAATCCGAGTAAAATTGGCCAGCTCTTTCTTCGTGCACCAGGGGGATTTGATCCATCCTTTACAATAATAGAAGGCATTGGATGACGAGGAGGCCACCTCCTTCTAAATGAAGAAAAGCTTATTTTGCTACCTAGTCATGTCATTCCAATTGAAGAATGCTTGTGCAACCTACCTACGCCTCAGGAACTAGGTATTCAAAGATCTCCTTAGGCGTATAATGGAGATGTTCATTGACAACATATTACTAAATTTCTTGGATGCATCCCAAAATATCTCTCATCTAGAGGAATAATTTCAATTTCTTCGCCACTGCAACATGAGTCTCAACCAGTTCAGATGTGCCTTTGGGCACATTGAGGAAATTTTTGGGGTTCATGGTCATTCATCACGAAATTGAGGCAAATCCTGATATGGTCAAGAAATTAAAAGACTTGGTGCCCCCGAGAAACATCAAGAAGGTGCAACACTTGAATGGACACACTCTCCTATTTCTTGGCTTACTCTGGTGATAAGTACTTGTCATTCTTCAAAATACTGAGAGGTGCTCAGTATGTCAGTTTCTAGTAGATAGATGAATGTCATACCGCTTTTGAGAATCTCAAGATATATTGGCCTCGTTGCCCCTCCTTTTGAAGCCTGTATAAGAAGATTTGTCGTTATATCCAACTGTTTCAGCTCACGTGATAAGTTTTATCTTATTTAGGGAGAAAATTTTGATTTAGTGGCCCGTACTACTATGTGAACAAGGTTCTCTCCGACAAAGAGGGTCGTTACCTATAAGATTCTCTTCGACAAAGAGGGTCGTTGCCTATTGGCGGGCAAGATTGTGTTAGCCATGGTTTTCTTACTATGAAGGTACGTCCGTACTTCCAGTCCATTGACGTCTACGCACAACTCATTTAAGGGCTATTCTAAAAATGCTCAAAGAATGGGGAATATTAATCAAATGATCAGTAGAATTTGGGAGAATTTGACATTCAGTACTTACCTCGACAAGTTATCAAATTACAAGTCTTGGTCGACCATTGTGGTCGAGTTTATTATTTCTCCTCTGACGAGCTACCTCTTTCTCCCTCATTGTCATCTCAGTGGACCATGTATGTTGATGGAGCATCTGGAAGTTTTGAATCTAGAATATTACTCATCTCCCCAAATTAAGATACCTTGGAGTACAAACTTGACTTGAAATTTTTTAGCCTCCAACAATATCACTGAGTATGAAGCCCTTGTCGCTGGATTGAAACTTGCATTGACTGTGAAGTGTAAAACTTGATTATTTACATTGAATCCTAGCTCATCGTATCCCATGTAGAAGGGGAATTTGGTGCTCACAACACACAACTGGTACAATATCTCGTCATTTTAAAGAAACTTCTCACTCATATCGAATAATATTATATCATCCACATACTTAAGGAGTAGAACACCTGAGTTGATATCATCTCCAAGCTCGTGACATCGACAACCAGATACCTCTTTAAAATAATGTACACCAAAGAGGTACATTTTTCTTGCAGGTAGGGTCAGTAGGTGATACAGTCTATCGATGAGTGGAAGAGCATTCTTGGATGGATCCTATCATTTCCTTCATTTGAGATGAAAAGTTACTCAATAATGCTACTGCATTAGTTCTCCTTTGACGTATGACTGCCAACTTTATCATCATCGGGGACAAACTGTATAAGAAGGCATTTGTTGGTTTGTAACTTAATGTCTTCCACCGTTCAAAACAGACCACGCTCTACGTGAGGTTCATTCTGAAATATGTTGGGAGCACATCTGAGGTAGAGCTCTCATGCTCAAGATAGTGAGACAGGGGTTTTATTGGCCTATGATCAAGTATGATGCACTGGACTTCATGTGAAAATGCAGAAGCTGTCAACTGCACTCCAATCTCATGCATGTAACACTAGTAGAACTCATGTCCCTTTTGAGCCCTTAGCATTTTGCCCAAAGGGAGGTAGAAATCATGGGACTTTTTTCCAATAGCCACGAGGCAATAAAAATTCATCATATTGGCTATTGACTACTTCATTAAGTGGGTGGAAGCTTAGTCGCTTGCCAAGTTCACCAAAGTTAACGCCAAAAGATTTATTTGGAAAAACATTATCTACTGCTTCGGGCCCCCTACAAAGATTATAACTGACAAGGAGACTAAATTTTCTGGCAATGTCTTCACATTCTTCTGCAAGGATCTCAATGTGAAATTGGTGCAAATAACTATAGTTTACCCTCAAACAAACGAGCAAACAAATTTGACAAACCAAATCATACTCAAAGGGTTGAAGACTGGTCTTGAGAAAGCTGGTGGTGGTGGGTTAAAGAACTTCATAACTTCCTCTAGGCTTAATGCATCACCTCATGGACTCCAATCAGGGAGATGCCTTACAACCTATTTTCTTCAACAAAGACATCATCATTCCAGTCAATATTGGGGTTCGTGATCCTTGAGTTCAAGCATTCAACTTGGATGACAATGAGGAGAAACTTTAGTAGCAACTAGACTTCATCTTGGAAACACGTGATGTGGCACACCTCATGTCTGCTTTCTATCACCAGAACCGAAGAGTCAAATTTAAACCTCTATGTTGACGATTTGGTTCCATACAACATTGAAGAAACTGGTCGTGGCCCACAACGTAAGAAACCGTCCCCCCCTATGGGAGGGTCCTTGCACCGTTGCCACCATGTCCAAGCTAGGAATCTTTAAGCTTAAGAACTTAGGGGGAAAGATTTTGCTCCGAACCTACCATGTAGAGAATCTTCACAATTACTACAATCAACAGTCTAGTCATGTAGTCTTTATTGTCTTATATTTTTGCTTTGTGTTTGCATTATTGTGTTGTTTGCTTTATTTCCCCAATAGGGTCAATGCACTCAAGGTCTCTAAAATGAATATGATTCCTCATTTACTTTATGCATATATCACTTTCAAAGAATGTAACGGTTCACATACGAACCAATTCAAACCATCGACCAAAGAAATATGTAACTTTAATTGCATCTTAGACACCACACTATCAATCTTAGGGGAATTTAATCCAACCTCTCACATACAAGTTAATATTTTTGAGACTTACTATGATAGACAAGCCCTAGGTTAAAAGTCTTTGTTCATCCCCGAATAGGTAAAAATTCATCATCCAACATCTCACGTACAAATGTTAATAGTGAGTGGTGCTCCAACTAGAAAACTCAGGAGTTAAAAATCCTTGGTGGATTTATGTTGGTATCTTCTATACGAGTTAACATCTTTGAGTGATACTCTAATGCGCAATCCTAGAAAGGTCGAACCCCGCTGCTGGTTCTTCCCGTGGCAACCTCCTTACGACGTAGAAGCTCTGAGCAATATCTCACATCCCCAATAATAAAGAAAAAAATAAAACATAAATGAGG